CAACAGTGTATTTTGCTTTTTCAAACAATGAATTATATGAATAAAAATAGGTTTCAGATCGAGTAGTAACATATAGCCACAGTATATATGTAAAAAAGCCGAGCGGCTCAGAGGGGTACCAGTGGTGGATCCAAGATTCTCGAGAGAGGGTGGCATTTTCTAAATTATATCATCCAAGTCAGTATAATTTTTTTTCCGAAAGTACATAAATTAGTGCTCGCTTTCTTTTAGTTCTTTATGTTGTTTTGGTGCAGTAAAGGGCAGGGACGCATAAGAACGTAATTTGATCTATAGCCCTTTTCAAACTAGACTCATCACAATTATATATAGGATGCAAAAACTTTTCACGGCGAGTACTTTGATACCCGATTTGAGCTATCATTCTGGTATATTTAAGAATTTCCACAACCACACATTCATGATTTGAATGAGTCTTCGAGATCCACCATTCACATATAAAATCAGAAGTAGCCAGGTTCTACTATAGCTGGTTCGATAGCACTTTTCACGGGCTATAAAATCATATAGTTTTTAGAATTATCAAAGGTGGGCCAAGGTAAAAGGTAAAGACTATACTGAGAAAACATTGCCAATTTTTCATGTAACATTACATAGTTAACTTAGGATTTTTGTTAAAGTCAGGATAAGCCAAGTTCTATTATAGCTGGTTCGATAACAGTTTTCACGGGCTACAAACCTATATAGTTTTTAGAATTATCAAAGGTAGGCCAAGAAAAAAGTTAAAGACCATACTATGAAAACGCTGGGTGTGTGGGTGTGGATGAGGATGTGGGTATGGAGTGTAAGATGTTGGTATATGGATGGGTTGTGGGTGTGGGTATAGAAGGTGGTATTGGTGTGACTTAGAATTTTCTTTACATCCCTACCCACACTCTCGCATCCACACCTACACACACACCTGCACAGGGACACCCATTCACACCGCACACCTACACCTACTGTCCACGTTCACACCCACATTGCTGAATTAGTGAAGAAATTCATGTATTTTTTTTACTTAGTTCACACTTTTAAGATCAACCGTAATAAAACCTCATTATATCATTCATTTGTTGATATAATTTTAAAGCGACATGCTTTTGCAGCAAGATTCAGTCACTGTTGCTCTGCTCTTTTCAACGCGATACCGTTGTTTCCGTTATTTTTTGTATTTTTCTACGTGCTTTGCCATTGATTAGGAGATAGGAGAAACTTGATCTCGTTTCTTTTTGTATTCTCGATTTGCTCAGTGAGCACGGATGTGGTTTTTTTTTGTTCTAGAATGAGTAGTATAGCTTGGTAATGGTCTTCAGATAACTGAAGCATTGTATACGGCTGCAACTGTCACAATAGACGGGATGGTTTGCCGTAGTCGATCTTTTAATTATATTGATATGACAAAATAGCACGTTCTGACTATACGTGCTATTAGGCTGATGTCGCCTATTTATTCTAACTACGACAGAGTGAATATCATACACGTACTGTCTAATAACCAGTATTTTGCTGGATATAGATTGTTGTCTATCTGACACCGTATCCCCTTGATAGACCAATACCAAGCAGAATAGATTATCTCATCTTCCTTGCGCGACATGAATATTACTCGTTCATCAACCACCAATTTAAATCATATATCCGAGATCCAGATCGAAGAAAAGAGACTGCGAACGAACCGGATTTCAATCTTCGCATGGATTCAGCTGTTCGCTACTCTTTCAGTGCCGCTGGCCATTGCCATCTATACAGTTGTGCAGCAAAATAACGAAGAAGTTATTGCCAAGGAGAGTCGATTGAAAGATCTGGATATTGCTATGGCTAATCGAGTCAAAGACGAGAAAATCGCCGATGATCAACGGAAAGAGAACATTCTCGTAGAATATCAAAACTCGCTTGCTAAATTGCTTATAGATTATGGAATGACATTAAACGAGAGTGCATCGGCACGATTTGTCGTTCGTGTCAAAACATTGACTGCCGTAAAACAGCTAGATCCTGTTCGAAAATCGTTTCTCATTCAGTCGTTGTTCGAAGCGAACTTGATAACTACGACGTTCACATGTGAACCTATGGTCTCCTTAGAATCGGCCGATTTAACCAGACTGGATATCGGCAACGGTGACAGTAACATCGAACGCCCGAGCCATCCTTGCCTGTCACTGAATCGAGTCATACTGAATAATGCCTCGTTTCGTAGAGAAGAATTTAATGGGGCAAGCTTCGATCATGCTCATATTCGCTTCGGTGATTTTACTGATTCGATGACAATGCCACCACCAAAATGTTATAATCAATCTCGTATGAAATATGTCAATTTCGAATTTGCAGTACTGAATGAGGCAATCTTTGTGCGAGCCCTGTTTGAAGGTGCTGTATTTTCGTTTGCCGAAATGTTTCGCACCAATTTACAGAGATTCGATTGTCACGAATGTC